GTACACTAACTGTCCCATCTCAATCCATCCAGCCAAAAAAATAACTCTTGCATGCTATGCATGCCTATGTTTAAATTGCGGTTACAGATCATAAAATCTACTCTCCCTTAGTCTATTTTGAGAGCTTTCATTCCTGTAGCAGTCTCTCCCATTCTGCCATTAGCATTTATTCCAGACACAGTCCTTCCTGCCAATTCTTTGTTCAATTTACTTGAAGTCTGTTGTCTCTTCTTATTCTGCCCTAAAAGTTGGCTGGCCTAGTTGTGTTGTCTCTTTGGAAAGCATTAGCTAATGTAAGAAACATATAAGCAAGATGTATTTTAGTTTATGTGCCTCTGGTTTTGCAGAATTTTAACATCAGCTATTTTTTATCTTTAGCACCATCCCACAATGGAAAGGGCTTTCAAGTTCAATCAGCATTACCATTTACAACTTTGAAGAAAGTAGAGGTACTCTCAAATTACAATTTACATCGCAGACCATTTTGTGTAGTTTCACGCAAAAAATACAATTTTCCTACAATAAAGAAATTGATATTTTAAGATACACAAAATGGCACTGAAATTTTGATTGACTTGATCATGGTTATATACCTTGTGCATGTGATAAAGCGTGGTTTGGAGGACTTTTTTAGTTATGGCTATCAATTTATATCGTTATTTTGTTAAGAGATCATTTTGCTTCCCTTCATAATACCTTTCAGGTTGGTCTGAACTGTCAAACAGTTACTCTGGTATCCAAATCTCGAAAAATTTTCTTATTTATAGCAGATGAGGCTGTTACAAGGTATGGTTTTGAAGAAGCCTTATTCCTACCATTTTTATGCAATACTGGCAAGAAATTTGAACAATCTTAAATTCGTACTAAAAAAATCAAAACTGTCCCAAAATATTTAAGTTGCAGTAATGTTTGAGCTCTCAAAATGTTCACAGTACAGCAGAAAACTTGAAGAACGTTAAAGAAAATTAATGTATTTTCACGGGGGATACATGTGCCAACATATCTGTTCCAGGCCAACATGCTCAACCTGAAAGCCACTTAAGGCTTTATAGATCCCTAGTTGAGACATTGGTTGAGGTCCATATCATCTGGACAAGTTCGTGATAGACTGTTTCAGAATTTTCGCTAAGTGTCCCTGTCATGGCAAGCAATGTGATCACCTCAGGCGTTTTTTATGCCCTCTGTGTGTCGGCTTTCTTACGGAAAGAAATCTTGTCTGCCGAACGCCAAATCTTAGAGGGTGCAAGGAATTTGGAGCAAAAATAATAGGATTTTGGGCCACGGAAAGTACCGTGCCTCTTCAATTGAGACGAACAGGTTTACGCTTACAACAGGTAATGCAAAGTTTTAAAATACACGTTAATTACATGCAGTGTTAATTTCATGAAGAGTCAATTTCCTATAATAAAGAGTTTAACTGTGCAAAGTGATGATGCAACTGTTGCCTTTTTTTGGATAGGGATTTTCTTGCATCATTGACCAGTATGATACTCAAATCAGGCCATGGATCCCTGCTCACAAAGATTATTTCTACTTCCTCATTTGAGCAAGAAGTTACATTAAAGAAGTGGATCTGTGAACTTGAAAACCTCCAGGTAAAAGTTGGAATGAATCTTATTCCAGGAGAGCCAATGGTGGATAGAACTTATTACATTTATTTCATTATTTCACTAGTCTTAGTATAGATGCCGGATACTTCTACAGTAACTCAGGAGGAATAGCAAGAAATATGTTATATTAATGGCGTATTCCTTCATAGATTAGAGATTAGTTAGCAGATTGAAGAGGTTCTTCGCAGGTTAAACACATGGTACAAACCCGGCTCTACTGGAGGGCAAATTGTCAAAATCAATTGTATAAGTCGTTATAATTCTTGCAAAACAAATGTGACTTATCAGTATAAAAACCATGAATTATAACGATCTTGATTGTGAATTTTGTTAATGGGATAATGTGTGGGCTGATTTACACAGTGATTCTTCTAGTGTCTTGAAGATAAGAGTTTCTACAGACAGCGTAGTGTGATGAATTTTTTTTTATTTTCTAGGCTTCGAGTTTGTGTTTGTAAATCAATGGTAACTATTACCTATAGAAACATAACTTCCAAAATTAAAAGAAATGTGATCTAGTTTTTATCACGCGTTCAAATGAGATGGTCTTTGGCGTGACCTTTACACTGTTTCACTGTTGTGGTTGCAGTCGTCCAGTGTGGACATCAGGTGTTTTACTTTTATTCACTGGTGTGGACTAACCGGACCGGATTCCAGCATTGAAGTTCTCAGTCACAAAAGTACGTGTACTGTAACTAAACGGCAACACTTGCCGTGATTGCCACAGTAGATTTAGACAGATGTTTATTTCTTCCCCGGTGCGATCAGTGATGTTAGACCCTGGTGAAGAGGGCTCGCCCTTGATTACTAACATTCTTCGAATTGTTATTTTTTTTCTCACTTCCAATTTATTTTAACCTAAGTTTAAAGGTATATCAACTCTAAAAATGATACTTATATATAACTGGACGTGACCTTCTCGGAATTTGGGAAGCCATATTTCAAGTCTTCAAAATCAGTTTTTCGTTTATTTGTTGTTTTTCGCTTTGCTTTATTACACGATAGATTAATTTTGCTTAAACCGTGAAAGAAATTCGAAAGTTATTCGGGTAATTGTTTTGATAAACAAAGGCCCCATTAACCGTTTAAACATTTACATTTCGCTTCACTAATCTGGCGTTATAATTGTTGACGTGGCTTTAACTGCTAGTCAGTTGCGTTCAAGATTTGGAAAGATTATTAGATTAACGGTCACGCTCATCGACATCATGGTTTTCATGTTTGAAAATAACTTTCTGATTTCACTTCATTGGAATTCGCGATCTTACTCCCTTTGCATATTATTTAAGCGTGGTCAAGTGAAGTCAGTCACTCAGTCATTCATTCATTGTTTCATTTTTATACCGTATTCATTCGATTAAACGCCGCGGCGTTTATTAAATTTTTCGTGATTGAAGGTCGGCGTTTATACGAGGGCGGCGTTTAATGAAAATCCAACTTACTATTTGCAAACAAAAGTATGGTAATTGCCCGTTAAATTAAAAAAAAACAGAAACATGTTTTGATGGTTGTCTAAAGTGTCACTTTTTATACTGTTCTCAATTGCACAAGTTGTGCAAGATCTTATGTCGGATATACTTTCTCGACATCAGAACTGGTACGTTCAAAAGGATTTGTGTCTGGTTCGCTCAAAATTTCTAAATGTGATCGAATAAACTCCGCAGGATGATGCGGCGTTTATTCAAGGGTGGCGTGTAATCGAATAACTTCAATATGTATTACATGTTTCAGGCGTTAAGGAAGGTTACATGGACTGTAAGCAAGCACAGTATTTAAGATCCTACAAATGGACCACCAGCTATTTTGTGTTAATGTAAGTATATATTAGTTAGAACATATGATGGCATTTGGAATGTTTAGATTAACTTGAAATCGTATTTTGTTCTTGCTGTAGGAATGGATCCCTGTATCAATATGTGAAGAAGGTGAGGTTGTTTAATGAGCTGAGTTTTGTTAGATGGTGAATGCCACGCCTATTTTTTTTTTAACCCAGAGGCTAGTAAGTATTTGGAAATGAGAGCGGGTTAAGGCTAAAAAAAATCGTAACTAACTTTGTTAGTTTTATTAAGATGAAAAGAAAAATGGTAATAAGTGACACATATCTTGAGTCGCAGGATTTCGGCAGAAGCTATTTAACAAATACACTACAGTAGCACACTCTCGTTAATGTAAATGAATTTGTGGAAAATTTTATTACAATAAGTGCATAGATACAACGGGGTTTATTTATAATTTATGACTCTCTCGCCTAAGAGAGAAGTTCTCGACCTTACTGTTTATAGTTAAGTAGCGGTTTTAATTATTATATTTAAAGAAAACTAACTTACTGTGATAATTTTTTGGAAACATTTTTTAAATTGGTTCTCTGTTTGTTTTGTATAGGGTGATGAAGAATGTAAAGTTATTGTAGAGCTGAGGTGAAGATTTTTCGCAGCTTAGAAATTTTTTTGTTCAATTTTGGAAATCAATTTAAGTTTTCATTCTTTAAGGTATAAATATTTACATTTAGGCATATTTGCATTTCAGTCTAACTATTTACATTTAAGTATAGTTACATTTTTGTATGAATATTTACATTTTAGAGGATCCCGATGTGGAGGTTGCCGAAGAGTTGATGATGCTGACCGCCCTTATGCCTTTGAGGTAAACAGCAGTAACTTTGCTGAATTTTTTACCCCAATGAGCATGTGTAACTTTGTTGGGTTGTCACGTTGTAGGTTGTATCAGAGGATGGCTCATCCCTACTTGTCCTTGCAGCCTATAGCGAGGATGAATCTGCTGATTGGATATTTAGGATTTGTCAAGCTACTGCTGATACGGTAGACACATATCACAAATCTTCTTACTGTTTCTGTTTATTTGTTTGTTTGTTTTTATTGCTATTTGTCAATTTGTTGCTCTAGAGGTTTTTACCGCTACAGCAACATCAGACAAAGGTGGAACGCAGAATTTTCAGTTCCAACCAGATAGCGCTAAACGGATGAAGTAATTATTTTGAAAATATGTCTTACATCTTACTTTATCCTTGTTTCGCCTCATCAATTGGTGTTTTGTTTCGTAGTCTGAAAGCGTTGAGGAAATGAGCCCTACAGTTATGAAATGCGTGCCTTCTTGTCTTATCCTCACTAATGTCAAAGTAGGTAATACTTTGTTATGGCCAGGCCTGTCTGATAGTCTGTTCAGAACTGGGGACATTGATTTAAGAAAATTAAAGGGTTTGCAAAAATGCCCACACTTAACCGATATCAAGCAGGTGATCAATGGATTGGGATTAAAGATGTTTGCATGCTTCGTCGTTAAAAAGTTAATTTGGAGTTTTGACACTTGCCGTGTTTTGGCATTCCAAAGAGGCATCTAACGTTCCCAAAATTGATGAAATGAAGAGATCCTCGCAGCTAAGAACACTACTGAAACGAGTAGTTGAAAATAGTACCTGAAAAAAATTCAGGCCCGTACAGGATTTAAACCCATGACCTCTGCGATACCGATGCAGCGCTCTACCAATTGAGCTAACAAGCCAACTGGGAGCTGGTCAATGTGTTGGGTCAAATAAACCATCCAAGTGATGAATGATGATTTTGATGATCATGTTCTGTACGTTTCAGTAGTGTTCTTAGCTGCGAGGATCTCTTAATTTCAACTCTTTACCGCAGTGCAAATATATGAATTTCATATATCTAAAATCATCGTTCCAAAAATTGTTTTTAAATGTGCTAGAAAAATGGGTGCGCATGTCGCTAGTTTCAGTTTAGCAACGTGACCGTTCAGTTTAATTTTGACGTGAGAAAGTCCCACTTTTAAGCTCATTTGATAATAGATTTTAGATTTTTAACTACGTAGCACAATAAGTTTCACATGCTTTGTAAAGGGGTAATTTGAAGGTTTTATGGTTTTTGTGGCAAGCTCTCCTTTGAAGTAAAAATGAAGTCACTTATCATGGCATATCTTTTCTACATATTCAAAATAATGCCTTATTTGTCTACGTCACTTTTAAGATTTTGGCGTGTCTCCCTAATCCAACTAGAGAGGAAACGTTTCAGCTGCTTAGTGAATGTTCTGTACAAAGTGTGACAAGGCTATTTGTGGACAATGATGTCAGGAACTATTGTATTTTGGTAGGTGGGCCTAAGTCACCTGTTAGTCGATCCTTTTTCCGTTTCCCGACACGTTATCTTATTTTAGGCCCTGAAGCAGATTTTTCCAATTTTTATTTGTGTGTTCATCAGCCTTAAATTAATGAACTAGGAATTCAGAACTAGTCAAATGGCTAGAAAAACGTTTGTTAGTGTCTGGTGACGATAAAAGCTTCTTCTGCGAAGATCAATGTATTATGGAAGAATTTATTTTTCTGAGATTTTTCCGTGTATTGTGTCTGAGTTGATTGTTGATATCGCTAAGTTTTATTTAGTATCTCTTCACGTAACCATAAGCCTCATAGCTTTGCAAATCTGAATGAACACTCAAGTCAAATAGGGGTTTCAATAAAAGCCGGTTAGCGGCGGTCTACCGCCGCCCATAAGACCTCTTACTGCTTTCTGTAGAGCCAGCGAGCACATCCTCGTGTTAACGGCCCCTTTTCTGGGCATAGCTACACCTATCACATTATCGACAGCCGCTTGTGAAATAAGTTATTGAAACCCCTGTTTGAGCAGGCTCCTGTGTGCTATGGAAGTTGGTTACCGTCACGGTCGAGTGAGCACTTTATGTCACTATGTGTAACCCCTAAACCATCGCATTTTGTTTTGCACCTTTAAGGAGTTCGAACACAGTGAAATCACCTCTACAGAGTCCTCTTGGTTTATTTGGTTTAAAACGGAGTATGAACTAGCAAAGTTTGAACGTGCTCTGCTGGAAGCTTGGCGGGAGCTCTTCCAGGTTTGTCTAGTCTCGGTAATTGTACTTCAGAAAATACGCTAATTTTACTCTCCAGTCACATTAACAAGCCGAAAGGCACATATGTGGTCTTAATTTCATGTCACAATCTGTAGTCACTTTAGAGTGTGACGCAGGCACAGATGCTGAAACCCTCGCGACCTTTAGTACTTCAAAATGATCTTAAGGTATTTGAGAAGAGTTCCTCTTCCCTATAGAAACATGAAAAGAACAAAATGCCTGTTTAATATACTTCTTTAATCGTTTTCGTTTTCCCTCATCACTTCCTCAAAACCGTTGTTATCACAAAAAGAAAAAAACATTTAAGTGCCTTACGTCACCAAATGTGTCCGAACTTTGGTTATCAATACCGCTTCGTTTTGGTTTTGTTTTGTTTGTTTGTTTTAACGAGCTTGTGGTGATTGGATTTTAATTTATTCAACAGATTGATCTTCAGTTTCTTGTCTTGGGTGAAGGATTCATTCGCGAAAAAGCAAGACAATTAGCAAACAACATTGAAGATTTGTATAAAACCCAACTTGCTTAGCTTTGCTTCCATGTAGTCTTTCTGAACTGTAGTCCGTTAATATAATGTACATTAGTATTCGGTGTTTGTGCCAACTGCTAGCGTTATTATACCGGAGTTTCATTACGAATGACTCTAGCTACGTGTAGACTGTAGCCTATGATTACTTTCAGTAGTTACAACCTTTTGGATTTTTCCATAATATGAAAGGTGGTTTTACTGAGAACAGTAACATTTTTTTCTTACATTTTCTCCTTTTTTCCCCAATGTCAGAAATTTGTAAATGGCATAGTTACAGCGCATAACGGACGAAACAATTGTTGGCAATTTTTATCAGTGACCCACGATTTCCGTGATAAATACTATTCAAGCGCGAAAAAAAAAAGAAAAAAAAAAAAAAAAGAAAAAAAAAAAAAACCACAAGAATCAGACATACAAAACCTTTTGCAGGTTTGACAACATTGTTTGATTATTTTAAAAGGCCATAATTGGCAGACCTGTTTTATATGTAATGCAGGTAGACTTTGTTATAGTAAAATTGTGATGGGTGCCGTTATTTCAATCAAAAAAATTGTAGTCAAATGGAATAAATGAAATCATTGAAGTTGATCAGGGCGAGCGTTGATGTTTAAATTGAGTATCTTAATTCTTCATTGAGTTAAGGCGTCTGTATGTCTTATTAGATTAGTTTGAGATTAGAGACTGAAAGCAAGTCTTTGACAGTTATGGGTTATGTAACAAACTGTTACTAAAGCCATTTCCCGAGTTGTTTCCATCACTCCATCACCCCTTCCATTCATTCGTGTTAACTTTCGGTTGAATCTGCTGACTAGCGCATAGGGCCATCGCATAATCAGTTCCTGCGTTACATTCAACTGCTAGCCGGGAATTGGTCATATTTTACAGTCTGCTAAGAAAGGTCAAATTTTACAGTCTGCTAAGAAAGAAATGTCTGCTAAGAAATAATGTCTACTAAGATCTGTGAGAAGCCAATTTTAGTAATGGATGAAAAGAGGGCTAAACTAACACTACATGCGTGAGGTTTACCTACATACTACGCACATTTGTAGGCCTTTCTTTTTAACGTTGCTGATCCCGAATTCGAATATTCTACCGCCAAAAACACAAAATGGATGAAATTTACTCTATTCGTTATAGAAAGCTGGTTTGCGCATAATAATTTGGAAAATGTTGATTTGATTATAATTATGATTAAGAGCCAAAACACGGCCTTTTATAACTACTTCAGTGTAATCACAGATCAATGAATTCCTTCAGGAGGTAACTCTGTTCCACCTGGTACAATCAAAAGCTCTTCTCGAACGAAACCATGCTCTGGACCATCCCTCAGATACTAAAGAAGTGGCTCTCCTACATTCACAATTGTTTTCTCAATACCATAGACCTTCAGAGACCAAACGGGGTCTGTGGCTCTTCGTTGACCATCTTCTAAGTCGCCAGCGGCATAGAAAGATCTTACATTCTTTGACGAGTCAAGTCTCTTCTCTTTCAAGCCAACAGGCCTTGAATAAGTAATAAGCTTTACTGCCTCAACAGGTTTCTTTTCTTTTATTGGAAAGTGAAGAGACTTTCACCCAAAATTCGATGGAATCGCTCAACGAATACCTGATCCCAGTGGAAGTTTACATTCCCTCTTCTTATCCTCACATCATGCTTTGTCATCTCCCATATTACCCATGATCCCCAACCACATCACCTATGATTTCTCGCCCGGAATCAACCTGAAGAACATTAGGCCATCTCAGAGGTCTTCGCTTATAAATTGTCGGAAAAGCTCTGTCAATGCATACTTACAGATTTTCCTTTTTGTCATGAGGAAAGGAGATCAGCTTGATGAACTGAATTTGGGAATTGCACATCAAAAGTTGGTCTTGAGATATTCGCTGGGGCAGGCAAATAAATCTGCCATATTGCTTGCTTCAAGCACTCCTTCCTAAGCCGACTTCTTAAATGCAGCTTGTAGAAGTCGGAAAAAAGTGGCTGTCTATGATCAAGCTCTTGATTATGCACCTTGCTGTGCAGCTTCAAAGCATAATCTGTATCAGTAAAACTCTGTTTTGCCTTTCTTGAGTCGGTCATTAGCTGCAATCCAATCGAGTAGTTTTGTTCTTGATACTTTTCATAAGCCGCTTGATGTTTCTCCACAGCGAGATCACGCCTCTTCTCCTCTTCAACACTTCTGGTGTCCACTCAAATACTTTGCGAGATAGCTTCCTCCAACAAAGGCAGTCGCGTTTATTATAGTTCCTCCAATCATTTTTTGCAATGCTTGCCATTTCATGAATCTTCAACATGCTTTTCTTTGCTTTTCAACATGCATTTCGATGCAAATGCACCAATCAGAGCTGTTGAAAAACAATTAATCACAGCAGAGCACCATGCTTTATAAGATCACGCATGACCAGTCGACCTCATCGCCTGAAGAAGACTGACAGTATGCAGTCGAAACGTGGCGATCTACATCACACGTGACTACATCGTGAGACAAACGAAAAACTTAGCTTTTATTGTTATTCACAACGATGAATAACCACAACCTTTTCCACGAAATGCTTTTCTTTGTTTTCGAGAACAGCTCACAAGTATTCATCGTGAACCTTTTGACAAAGCTTATGATATAGAATGTGAGGGCAGACTCAATGATTACGCAGACTCCTGCGAACTTAATTGTATTCATTGTGAATCGGCTGAACATATTGAGTAGATAAAATCTTCTGTTTTTAGAGATACGGTTTTGTTGCGATTGGTGCAGCGATTGCGAGAGTGAACTTTACGTAGCAGATGAGATTTGAACTCGGATCAGAAGTCATCGATTCCTTGATAACTTTAATCGCAATCCACCGATTCCAGCAGCCAGTCCAGTCAAGGTCGCTAAATCAGTCAGTGTTTTCACATGCTTAAAAACAGACATTTGTTTTATTTGGCAAACAAAAAAAAATCAATTCATTGCTTTAAATCTCACAGGAATCTGTGGTGGTGTTGGTTGAGGCTGTGGTTTTGGTTTATTAACAAGAGACATCACTTCTTTCCTTTTCAAGCAGAGTCCAGCCAGTGAAAGAACAATGCTTGCATCTGAAAGCATTGAGATTGATGAAGTAGTTATAAAAAGCCGGTTCTGGCATATTTTGAAATCAACCTTGATTTTAGAGGCCTCATAAATTTAACATTGAAATCAAGGTAGACTTGAAATCAAGGTTGATTTTAAAAAAAACCAGTTCTTGCACGTTTTCAGTCAAATCAACGTTGATTCCAAGGACAATTTAAATTTGTCAAGATGATAATATTCACATCCTTTTTTACAATGTCTCACCAGTGAGACATTGTGTGACAATAGGTTTTCGCGCACCACTCTAGACTTCGCGGGAAACGTACAAAACGGGGGTAACTAACTCGGTAGAGACCACTCGGCTTGCGAGAACGGAAACTCGTCACGATTCCATGGTACACGTAGATCTACTTCGAGCGAGCTTATACAGACGTCAAGGATGAGACAGCGTTTGGTTCCACAGCAAACTTTATAAATCATGCCAGAGTAACAGCTAAACTAGTGATCGGCACGCCGTCGTGTATGTAATCGAAAAAGCTTTACAGAGTACTTGCTTACTGGTGTGAGATTCCATTGTTCTCCAAATCTACCATATTTTAACAGTATAACAGAAGAAGCTGAAAATGTTTCTTTGAAGTTAAACGAAAGCTACTTTTAAGTAGCTTTATTCAAAAAATATTCCATCTGTCTCTACAACGAAAAGAATCTCAAAGTTAAAAGGACGGATAAAAAAACTTAACGCCATTAAAAATAGGAAACTTAGGTGAGAATTCACAGCTCTGATATTAAGAATATACCTATCTTAATTACAGTAGCGCAGCTTAGGAAATGAAAGTGGAAAAGTAATTAAAAGTTTCTGCATAGGTTGGTGTAGAAACTATCGTATGAAAGGAAATTAAAATTACGGGTACAAACTCAGCTGCCAACTATCGTGAGAACCAATTTTTCCAGAAAGACCATTAACACTTATATTTACCTCAAATTTCACTAGTAATGAACAATTAAAGTACCGACATACAGGTGTACAATGAAAGCAAGCAACGAAGCAGAAATCTCTTAGTGTACTACTCAAAAACTGCTGTGGCTTTATTTACATACATTTTTTTTACTCACTAGGATAAAGGAGCTTGAAAGAACTCGAATGATTAAATATGGAAAGTTTACGAATAAATGTCCCAAACAAACACACGGAAGAATCAGCAAATTTTCCCGTAACAATTGTGAAGAGGGTGTGAATATTATCATATTGAGCGATCCTTTTGCCACGCTATCGACGTCGCTGATAGGATGTTGATTGTTTGTGTGAAGATTTTGAAATATCAATGTTGTATCTTTTCTCGCAAAGAAGTCGTGGTGATTTGTTCTTCTGTCACAAATTGTGTCTTTATCAATGAGATAAGTAGGACAGTTTGAGTGCAGTCCTTCGTGAAAACGATCTCCAACTTTTTTTATTCCCCCACACAAATTCAAGTTTCTTTGGAATCAAGGAATTTTACCTTGATTTTAAAAAAAAACAGTTCTGACACATTTTCAAAGCAACCTTGATTTCAAGGCAACTTGAATTTTTTCACAGGCGAATGATGTCTCACTCGCGAGTCCTGAAGAAAGTGTGAATAATATTAAAATGTTTCTTCAAAAATTTTTCTGACGCGTCCGAAATTTTTCTCATCTATTTTCTCCAAAAATTTTTCTGACGCGTCAGAAACAATTTCCATTTATTTTCTTAAACTTGTTTCTGACGCGTCGAATTTTTCCATTTATTTTCTTCAACCTGTTTCGTTCTAATAAACTTTGGTTCAAAATGTTTCTGACCTGTCAAAAATTTTCAGTTATTTTCTTAAAAAATTTTTATGCGAAAATTCAGCACTCTTCAGATGCAGAATCAAAGCGATGGCTCGCAGGACCGAATATGAGCTACTGGCCACAACAGCTCAACTTCACAGTATGGCGTGCAACGAAAGGCTGTGGGATATCTCGTGAAATTCTCGATAAGGTTCCAGAACAGATCAAGTCGTTTCTGATGTTTCACATCTACCTCACAGTCAGAAGGATTCTCTTTAAGATGGGTGGAGTTCAGAGTGAATCGGCTCTATTAGGTGACCCAACTTTCAGCTAGATAAATGATAATTATGACACGCCATCGTTCAAACGAATATGCAGTTTTAGGTTTTAGAGGAGAGAAAGATGATAATTTAGTAAGGCATTGTTTGCTCCTCGCAAGGTATTAATTTATTGCTGTGAATTTAAGAACATATTTCCATCTACCAGAAAATATGCGCAACAGCTGAAATATAATTTAGAAATTGAAAAAAAATATCTATCGTGACTGATTCACAGAATAAATTTCAACAGAAGTGTGACAAAATACTTCATGCACTATATAGTTTGCGGGCGGGCTCCAAATGTGAGCCTGCTCGCAGGCTATATCTTACTTTCCTTATGCTGATCTTAAGCCTCTGAAAACCAATTTTTGCCAGACGCTGTACTTTTTGTTTGTTTGTTTGTTTTTTTTTTTTTTCAAGCTCTTACTCTTATCTATCCC